CACACACACACACCCTGTTTTAAGAGTCAGTGACGTAGAAACACTACTGTTCTTTATTTGTCTCACACTGGAAGTGTGAAGCTTTGATGTAAAAAGACATGACATCACTGTGGGGAACATGTTAGTGTGTAAATAGACTCGTAGCCATAGATGACATTTCTGGGCTACTAGCTAACATTAGCATCTGTGTATTCTATTTTTACACATTTTTATTCAGTTTAAACAGAGATACAGACAAAGTTATGAAGAAATTGAAATTAGAAAGTCGACTTTAAGGCCTTAAAAATATAAAACTCAGAGGTAAACGTCATATTAAAGGTTCATAATTTACATATATTTCACTGACTGCAGGTTTCCACTGATTTCTCTGGCAGTCCATCTGCCTCCTGGTTCCTGTCCTCATATCAAATCATACAGCCGTCATGTTTGCACCTGATGTCCAATGACTCAGCGTGTGTTTCTGTTTTGTGAGTGTTTGTGTTTTTCCAGCTGTGTCACCGTGATTTTGTCGGTTGAGTTTTTTCCTGCTCGGCTCTCACATGCTCTCAGGCTGCATGACACAGCGAGTCTGAGGCGACATGTGACCCAGTTTACGTTATCTCCAACCCGGTTTCATCATACCGTTTCACCTCAGCTCACCTCACGTACCCATGAGTCACTTCATCTCGCTCCAGTTTGTTGTTTTTCACGTTGTCGTGTTGTTTCACATCGAGTTTAAAGTCAGAGTTCATGAAATTTTGTGATTCCAGTTTCGGTCGACCCGTTCTCAGACATACAGACTGTGAACATCTGTTACCACCTGGTACTTTAACACGAGCCATTTCTTTTTAATTGCACTACCATGAAGAGTGGTCATGTGACCTGGATCTCGTTTCATCACCTTCCCGTTTCATCATTTCAACTTGTTAGTTTAGTTTAGTTTATTTCACGTGATATTTAAATGTGTCTTTTTTTTTGTCTCTAATTTCTCATCTCAGCTCATGTGATCTGATTCTATCTCTCCTTATTTCATGTCATGCCATCTACTTCATCCAGTCACATTTTATTTCATCTCTCATGTTATTTTATCTCACTTTTTTTATCTCATCAAGTACATTTATATTTCCTTGTGTCTCCTCTTGTCACCTCTTCTAATCTTGATTGTCTAGTTTCATCTCGATTATCTCGTCTCGTTTCATCTTGTCTCATCTCGTCTAGATTGTTTTTTTTTATCTCGTTTCATCTCAATCATCTCGTCTCATCTTGATTGTCTCATCTAATCTCGATCATCCCCTCTCATCTCGTCATGATTTATTCATCTTGATCATCTCTCTCACGTTTCATCTCGTCTCATCTCGTCTCATCTCGTCTCATCTCGATCTCTCGATCTCTCGATCTCATCCTGCATCATTCTGTCTCACATAATCTAATTTTATCAAATTTTTCTCAACTCAGCTTCTCAAACTTCATCTCTCTCAACTTGTTTCATCTCTTCTCCTCTGATCTCATTTTCTCTCATCTCTTCATTGTCTTCTCACACCTTCTCATTTTCTATTGCATTTTAAAACATCTATCTATCTTTCTATCTATCTATTTCAGTAGGTCAGTTTGGGCCAATCAGATTGCTCAGGTGAGGTGACATCACCTCTCCGATCAGCAGTGTGACCTCAGTCTGTATCATCATGAATCCCTAACGAGGGCTCTCGAAGCGACCAATCAGCAGAGGCCTGGATTATCAGGTAATGAGGCCTGACAGCAACCAGCCAATCAGATCTCAGCACACAGATTACTGCCTGGCCGGGGCTCAGGGGGAATCAATAATGTAGAATCACACACACACACATACATACACACACACACACACACACACACACACACACACACACATGCCCTGACCCTGCCCTTACTACCATTACAGTAAATGACGAGGCGGAGAGATAGAGTACCAGAGAAGAGGGAGGACGGACCGACATAAACACTGGAGGAGAGAAAGAAATAAAGACGAGTGAAGTGAGAGCAGAGAGAGAAATCAAAGCGGCTGATGATCTCAGTGTTTCATGTATGATTCACTGCCAGTAGCTGTGACTCACTGTTGTAACAGCAAGTTAAAGTGATGGAGTCAAGTTCATGCCGGCTATTGTTTACCTCTCCCTCTCTGTTGATACTACAAACTGCAACTTGAGCTGCTGCCTCACTTCTCCCTGATTATTTAGTTTCTGCTGCAGTTTGTCTTTCTGTGTTTTTTATCGGGTCTGGAGGTCGAAGCTTTTCACTTCCTTCTGTGGGTTTGTTTTATCTCGTAACAGCAGTAAAGGGCCAGCAGCGATTGGACCTGTGGATGTTATAAGGCAGCTGTAGCATAACATGCTAATGTAAACTGAAGCTGTGTCATGTTTTCACTGTAGAACCTGACAAGTTGATCTGACTTTAAAAAGATAGGAAACCGATTGCCTTGAAGAAATCAAGTAAATATAACTATTAGTTTTAAGTTCTGTTGACTTTATATCCACATATATGTACATATAGAATAAAAACAACTTTATATATGAAACCTTTAATAAATTGGAACAATTTCATATATTGACATCTGTGTCTAATATGTATGTTTATGTACATGTGCTTATGTTGGAGACACATGTAATGTGATATATAACCATCTCAAAGCCTGTCAGTTTATATTAATATAATATACAGGGGGTCAGAACGTGACCTTTACAATTACTGAGAAATTAATAAGAAAACATATATAAACATTTTTTATATGTAAGTTGTTTAAATAAACTTGCATATATAAATTAAATATATATCGTTAACACGTGGTCGCATCTATATTATAAACATATATGTCCATAGATCCAGAGGATGTACATATGTGATAATATTATTCTGTATAGGCGACATAAATCCCTCTTGATATAGGGACATACATGTTATATATTACGTTCCTGTATGGGAAGTAACAGGTAACAGGTAACAGTAACAGGAGAGAGTCAGTAGTATTTGTACTAACAGGTAATAAACATGAGTTTACTGGACGTGAGCTCTTCGTCATCAACCTGAAACATGATTGAAAACACATTTCAAGGTGAAGCTGAAGCTGCTGAGTCACAATGTGACGGTGGGAAGTTTGGAAACAACCAACACATGATGGTCTCTCTCTCTTTCTGTCTGTCTCTCTGTCTGTCTCTCTCTCTCTCTTTCTGTCTCTCTGTCTCTCTCTCTGTCTCTCTTTCTGTCTCTCTGTCTCTCTCTCTGTCTCTCTCTCTCTCTCTCTCTGTCTCTCTCTCTCTCTCTCTCTCTCTCTGTCTCTCTGTCTCTCTCTCTGTCTCTCTCTCTCTCTCTCTCTGTCTCTCTCTCTCTGTCTCTCTCTCTCTCTTTCTGTCTCTCTGTCTCTCTCTCTGTCTCTCTCTCTCTCTCTCTCTCTCTCTCTCTCTGTCTCTCTCTCTCTCTCTCTGTCTCTCTGTCTCTCTCTCTGTCTCTCTTTCTGTCTCTCTGTCTCTCTCTCTGTCTCTCTCTCTCTCTCTCTCTGTCTCTCTCTCTCTCTTTCTGTCTCTCTGTCTCTCTCTCTGTCTCTCTCTCTCTCTCTCTCTCTCTCTCTCTCTCTCTCTCTCTCTCTCTCTCTCTCTCTCTCTCTCTCTCTCTCTCTCTCTCTCTCTCTCTCTCTCTCTCTCTCTGTCTCTCTCTCTCTGTCTCTCTCTCTGTCTCTCTCTCTGTCTCTCTCTCTCTCTTTCTGTCTGTCTCTCTGTCTGTCTGTCTCTCTCTCTCTTTCTGTCTGTCTCTCTGTCTGTCTCTCTCTCTCTCTCTCTCTCTCTCTCTCTCTCTCTCTCTCTCTCTCTCTCTCTCTCTCTCTCTCTCTCTCTCTCTCTCTCTCTCTCTCTCTCTCTCTCTCCCTCCCTCCCTCTCTCTCTCTCTCTCTCACCCTGACTCGTGCGCTCGGTGGCGTTCAACAGTGATACAGTAAAAAAGTCGATGCCGGCTCAGGATCACATGACCTGAGTCACCGTGTCACTCAGCAGGTTTCACAGAGAGGAACTGAACCTTTGTTTTAGCTGATGGAGCTGGTTGCACTGATACTGGGGAAATAAACAGATCTGCTGTGTCACTGTTTTACTTTATAATCACACACTTTAGTTGAAAGAGTCAAAAATAATAAAAAAGATTAAAGAAGCACGTTTGAAGAATGCTGTTCCCTGCGTTTTATACATGTTTATAAATCACGTCACACACAGAGTAAATAATAGCAGGAAGTGAGGAAACACTCATGAATCTCGTAAACGTGCACTGAGGAAATACTGAAGACTGGAGAGCAAAGATAACGATAAAGATAAAATTATAAAATACTTTATCAAAGTGAGTAAATCCAGAAATAAAAGGAAGGATATTAAAAATCTAATAAACATGAGACAAAATGGTGAAGATAAAATAATAAAATGCTAAAAGAGAGAAGATGTTGGGAAGAGAGAAGGAGATAAAAGAAGAGAATTAGAAGGAAAATAATCCAGAAAATAAACATGGAATAAAAGGATGAACCAGTAAAACAACTTAGAATATATAAAGATTATTAAATAGAATAAATAAGGAGGTGGAGGAGACCAAACACGGAGCTAAAACAGAGGAAATACCAGACTGAGATTCATCACACGTTCAGAAACACCACCCATAATCAATAATAATGTTGCTCTGTAGCTGCTGAATCTGTAATCAAGCAACTGTTTTCTAACGAGCTGGTCACGTCAGGTTGAAAGGTGCTGATATGTCAGTGTTGGTAACTTGTTTCTGCCGGAGACTCAGTGATTCCAGCTTCACACAGTGAAAGAGACGCGATGGTTAATGCACATCTTATTTCAGTCCTTACACAAGGTGCCTGCTCTGTGACATGTCACACACCGTGTGTCTTGTGTAAGCTGCGCTGTGATTGGTCATACGGGATGTTGTAACTCTGTACATCACAGGTTTAACCCCATCACCAAGACTCCGAGTGTTCCCACAATCATGAACAAAATCCACAGTCGATATTTCAGTAATTAAACTGGAATTACATGATGTGACTTGACTCCTGGCTCCGACGCTCTTTTCTCCCACACAAGTTTCGGACCTGAATCTACTCCCAGTGAAGAGCCAAACCCTCCAGCATCACAGTGAGTCTCTGCTGTCTCTGTCGCCCACTTAGAGCGACGGCTTCCCGCGTCACTAAACGGCTGAAAATGTGAGGGGGTGGGGAGATTTCTTTAAATAAGGTCTGAAGGGCAACAAACTTTATACTGAAAAAATAACAAAGTCATCATTTAGTCAGCGTTACCATGGAAACCGGAGATGTAGTGGTGCATGTGGGTTATGGGACAGTGGAAATGTCTCATGTGTAATGATGCAGGATGTTTTACTGTAAGTCAAAATACTGTTGACTTCATCCATTAGACTGTGTCTCCATAATAATGATTACAGATAAACAAACTACACACGGGGCTGTTTTAAAGGTGAGTTTCACTTTTTAAGATTCCATAACTTTAAATTTGACTATTCCAGGTTAAAACAGATAAAAGA